CGGGAGCTGGAGCGGGTGGACAGCAGCTACCGCTCGGTGCTCAGCGTGCAGTCCTCCCTCGTCATGTACCCCCTCTGGGCCTACGGGACCCCCGCCCAGCGCCAGCGCTTCCTGCCCCGCCTCGGTGAGACCCCCGCCGCGGGGAGGGGCAGCCTGGGGGCTGCAGGGGGCAGAGGGGCGTCTGGGGGGGTTTGGAGGAGGAGCGGGGTGTGTGGGGCAGCGGTGGGGCAGTCGGGGCGTCCCCCGGGGTGGCCCTGACGCCCCCTCCCCAGCTCGGGGGGAGATCGTGGGGTGCTTCGGGCTGACGGAGCCCAACCACGGGAGCGACCCGGGGCGGATGGAGACGCGGGCACGGCACAACCCCGACGCCGGCACCTACACCCTGCGCGGGTCCAAGACTTGGTGAGGCTCGGAATTGGGGTGAGGGGGACATGGGGGACCCCCAGAGCTCCCCCTTGACCTTCCCCGAACTGCCCAGGATCACCAATTCGCCCATAGCCGACCTGTGCTTGGTGTGGGCCCGGTGCGAGGAGGACGGGCGGGTCCGGGGCTTCCTGGTGGAGCGCGGGACCCCCGGGCTCAGCACCCCCAAAATCGAGGGCAAGTTCTCCCTGCGCGCCTCGACCACCGGGATGATCCTCCTGGATGACGTGGAGGTGCCCGAGGAGAACGTGCTGCCCAACGCCGAGGGGCTGGCGGTAAGGGGGGAGCCAGGGCACCCCGGGGAGGGGTCTTGGGGCACAGAGGGGGGGTCCCAACGACACCCCCTGTGCCCCAGGGCCCCTTCGGCTGCCTGACCCAGGCACGGTACGGCATCGCCTGGGGCGCGCTGGGCGCCGCCGAGGCCTGTCTGGAGACGGTGCGGCAATACGTGCTGGACAGGTAACGGGGGGCTGGGGGCGTTTTGCGGGGGGTCCCACCATCCCAGACCTCAGTGCCCCTCTCCCCTGGCCCGCAGGAAGCAGTTTGGGGGCCCGCTGGCCCGGAACCAGCTGGTGCAGAAGAAGCTGGCGGACATGGTGACGGAGATCACGCTGGGGCTCCACGCCTGCCTGCGCCTCGGCCGCCTCAAGGACGAGGGCAGGTGGGTGGCACTGTCCCCAAGGGCGCCCGGGGGGGCCTGGAGGGGGTCAGCGTGTCCCCGTCCGTGTCCCCACAGGGCCGCCCCCGAGATGGTGTCGATGCTGAAGCGGAACTCGTGCGGGAAGGCGCTGGGCATCGCGAGGGACGCGCGGGACATGCTGGGGGGCAACGGGATCTGCGACGAGTTCCACGTGATCCGGCACCTCATGAACCTCGAGGCCGTCAACACCTACGAGGGTATGGCGGGGAGGGGCACGGAGGGGTCCCCGAGGGGTTTGGGGGGCTCCTACTGAGGGGTGGTGATCCCCGCAGGTACCCACGACATCCACGCGCTGATCCTGGGCCGCGCCATCACCGGCATCCAGGCCTTTGCCCCGGCAAAGGGGACGTAGCGGGCACGGTGGGGACGTGGTGGCACCGGTGGCACCGACGGGGACCGGGTCTGCTCCTCGTGAGGAGATGGCGGCGCTGACCGAACCCGGTGTCACCAACCGGACCCAGGTACCCCCAGAAGAGATCCAGTGTCACTGACGGGACCTTGTGTCACCAGCCAGGCCTCAGTGTCACCAATGGGACTCAATGTCACCCCAAACAAATCTCGTGTCACTGGCGGGACCCGGTGTCACCAAGCACATCTTGTGTCATTGATGGGACCCAGTGCCACCGACCAAACCTCCTGTCACCAACGGGACTCAGTGTCACCAACAGGACTCGGTGTCACTCAGGGGACCCCACAGGTGCTGGGCCCCGTGTCCGGTGCCATCTCGGTGCCTTTGCCAGTCCTGTGGCCAATAAACGGTGGGACAGCCCCTCCATGCCAGCCCTGCTCGTCAGCATTAATTAACCTGCCACGATCCAGCTCTGCTCTCGGGCTGGGGGGTCCCAGCCCATCACAGACCCCCCCCACCCAGCTTTTGGGTCAGCTTCAGCCCTTTATTTGTTCCAACCACCGACAGCAACAGCAACAGAAAAGCCCTTTGGGGCCAAAATCCCCCTTTGGCCTGGTACAGCCCTGCAGTCCCGTGGGTTTGGGGGTCTCGCTCCGGTCTGGGGGTGCCCTCAGTCCTCGGGCTGCAGGCAGAGGTCCTGATAAGCTGCCTCCACGGTGCAGCAAATGCGGCGCAGCTCCGCCTGCACCCCCTCCACGCGCTCCAGCACCTCGCTGAGCGCCTGCAGCCTCTCCTGGATCAGCCCGTTGTGGAAGCCGTAGCCGTGGAAGAGCCGCTCCTCCAGCTGCTCCGTCAGCTCCGAGACCTGCCCGAGCGAGCGTAGCCGCGGCTCGTCCCGGTGCTGGCACGGCCGCTGTCCCCGGGGCCGGTGGGGCAGCTGCGCCCGCCCGCGCTGGCACCGCTCCCGGCCTGGCCCGGCCGCCGCCAGCTGCGCCCCGGTAGCCGCAGCGCCGGTCGCGGTGGCCACCGAGCGCCGGGTCGGCGCGGGCCGCAGCTGCCGGGCCGCGCCGCCATCTGCGCGGGGACCTGGGGACACCCCCGGGCCGGTCCCCCCCGGCGGGAGCGAGGTCCGGCGCTCGGGCAGCGTGGGGACAAGGGGGGACATCGGGGGCCGCTGGAAGCGGGGCCGGAGGCAGCTGCGACCACCCCCGCGGGGGCTCGGGGGGCTCCCCCGGCCGGGCTCCGCAGCTGCCTCCAGGCCCGGGCTTTGCCCTCCCTTGTCCCGCCAAACCGGGCGGAATAACGCGACTCCCCGTGCCCCCGGAGGAAGGGAGGGGACCCCTCCGTGCCTACCTTCAGCAGGATGCTGTCCCTGACGCCGCTCAGCTCCGTGTGCGCTTCTTCGCGGCCGCCGTTGAGGCGTCGGAGGACGTCCTGCACCCGCTGCTGCAGCCCCTCCACGGCGGCGTCCAGCGAGGCGAAGTACAGCGAGGAGCGGGAACCCAGCGCTGGCTCCGGGCACGGCCTCGGCCGGAACACGGGACCCTCACGGACGGGCGGGGGGCAGCCCATGGACCCCACGGGGACAGGGACCCCCCATCGGGGCCGTGGATCACACAGGGACAGTGACACCCCTGTGAGGGGCACAGACCCCGTGGGGACAGGGTGGATCACACAGGGACAGGGACCCCATGG